AAAAAAAGAATTTTCCACACATGGGGTTAGTAAAAAAAGAGCCAAACCCAAAAAAATAAATATACATACATACATACATACATACATACATACATACATACAATACATACATACATATATATATATATATATATATATATATATATATATATATATATATATATATATATATATATATTCCAACGAAAAAGGGGAAAGAAATTGGATATATATATATATATATATATAGCATTTTTTCGTTTTCAATAATACTAAGGAAAATACCATAACTCATTTAAAAAATTATAAATGAGTTTTTCTTTTAAACTTGATTCCCCAATGGTATAGAAATCACAGGTATTTTTTTTAGTATTTTTAAATTTATTTTCCTCTATTATATTATTTTTGTAATATATTTATATTTTTTTACCAAAAAATATTATAACTCATATAAAAGTCAAATTATTTGAATATTTATTTTTTGACTGGAGAGCCATTTTCAAAACGAACATTTTCTTAAATGTTCTCCATTAAAAAAAAATCAAATTTTTTGATTTCTATTTTAGCATATTTTTAAAAACACTATACCAAAGGAAAATAAACTACAAAATATTAAACAAATATGTATGAAAAATATTTATGATTCCTAAACTTAGTTACTATGTTTTCAACAATACAAAAAAAATTACCATAACTTGGGTTAGTAAAAAAGAGCCAAACTGAGAAAAATAAATATACATACATACATACATACATGAATACATACATATATATATATATATTTATATATATATTTATATATAATCGGAAAAGGTTAAAAACGTAAAAAGGGGAAAGAAATTGGATGGTTGAAGCCGGGTTCACCATACTATTCTTTACACACTGTTCTTTGTCTTTGGTCTCGTCACTCTTTTAACCCCTCACTCTAAAGATGACGACAACGTCTTATCCATTGCACCCATAACCTTCTAAATCCATCTAATTATTACTCTTCATTATTATCAATTAATATATAAATATAAAATTTAAATATCTATTTTTTTTAATATTTGTATCAATCAAAAAACACAACGATAAACAATCTAAAAAAAGAAATTTAGATTAATAAAAAACCCCGATCCAGTCTCAAAACTGCAGCCCCAAAAAAAGTGTGTCCAAACCCCCTCATGCCAATTTCCCCCCAATCCTCAACAACATCTCCTCCTCTCTCTTCTCTGCTCGCGATCCCAATGTCTCCCTCAGATCTCCACCCTCGTCCCCTCCCCCTTCCCTTCGTGTTGCTTGGGTTCCATCAGTAATTACACGAAGGGGAATCGATCTGGTTCGCTTCCGAGTAGGTAAAGGAGGAAGGAAAGAAAGAATGGCGTCGGCGTCGTCTTCGTCTTCGTCGGGGATCTTTGCGTCGATCTGCCTGCTGCACGCGGCGGTGGCGGCCACGTGCGGGGCGCTGATGATGTTCTACCTGAACGAGATCGCGGTGGTGGGGCACGGGCGGGAGACGGCGCGGAGGTTGCAGGGGTCGACGCCCCACGACCAGCTGCTGATCCAGACCTCTGACTCCTTCGCCGGCCTGCTGCTCTTCGCCATCGGCCTCCTCCTCTTCATGGTGGCCTTCGTCAAGGACCGCGACTTCCAAGCCTTCTTCGCCAAGGGCTGCATCCTCCTCCATGCCGCCATGGCCTTGTGGCGCGTCTTCTTCGAGCGCCGCCTCGAGGACCTCGCCCGCGACTGGCCCCGCCAGCTCGTCGGCGACCTCGTCCTCAGCCTCTCCTGGGTCCTTTTCCTCGTCTACTCTTGGAGGGAGAAGTACGACTAATACTGCTATTCCTAATACTATTTGTATCATCATCCCGAGGTAACCTCCCTTCCATGGATTGCTCATGTGGTTCTATTGTCTCCTTTCTATGTGTAATATACGCTTGCTCTTCTTGTTGATTGCCGGTACCTGGATCGATATCTGGAGTTCCTCATGTTATATATGCTACGTCATGACACCCTTGTAAATGTTCCTTCTCTTTTTCTGATCACAATCAAAATTGGGATTTGTGAGCTCCGACTGTTATCTGTTTCCATCTTTGTGTGCCCAAAGAGTGATTTTGATTGTTCTACCATGCTCTGTACCATCTTTGTATTTAGCATTACAATTTATGTGAGTATTGCATGGCTAAGCGTGTGAATTCACTGAGCAGTTAATCCGTTCCCTGTTCCTTAGGTTCGTGATCCTTTGCTTGGCGTGTGTATCAATTTAAGAAATATTTACTTTCGAGTCACTCGTGTAAGGATCAGTATGGACAGTTATGCTTTCTTTGACCAACTGTAGCAAAAATAGTCTGTCCGCTAGGTGTTTGCATTTGGTCACTCTTGTGATACATAGATACATGCCCAAGTAATTCCATATCTAGATATGTTTATCTTGGGACATGGCTCTTGCATGCACTCATGGAAGTGCATGCTTTTCTTGTTTTGCCTTGCAATGACAAACGCGGCCATGTGATCATTGCGCATTTTGATTTCGAACAAGTTTTGTGTCTCCAAAGGTTTTTGATCAATTGCCTCCGTGCCAGCTACCGAGCAGCATTTTGTGGCAGTTTGGAATTAATATGTGAATAACCTGACTTAGATCTTCGTTTGACTGATGTGTGACATTTTACTCTTTGCTGTGTTTTTGGCCTTTCTTGTCATTTTTATATCTTCTAAATGATTTTGCCCTTTAGTGATGAATGCTTAAACTATAGTGTAGAATTGAGCACTCAGTGCTTTCTTTTGCGAATCTAACCTCAAACAATTTAATCTGAATCCTCTTGTATTTCAGATGTAATCGAGATACATGTGTCGTCTTGAAGCTGTATTATTATGTGAACCTATTTCCTTATTGCTTTTAAAACTTGTTCCCGTTTGTCTTTGCTGAAAGATGGCTGTATAATATGTATTTTGATCATCATGTCAATTCATTATGAGAAAATTTTGGCGCCAAATATTATGCCTGCTATGGTGCCAATTCATTGTTCATATATATCTTTGGCATCCAAGATTTACATTATTCAAAGTTATTGGTATATTTTTGGTGCTGAAGATGCAATTTGGGCACCAGAAACTTTTTTGTATTAGACAATCATAGACATTCTGTGGCTTATATAGATGATGAATGAAGGTATGTTGAAATAAGAGTCAAAGAACAACTTCTAGAACAATTTCAGTCATTTATATCGTCATCTTAGACAACTTTTCTTGCGGTTTGACTTTGAAATTGGATCTATGGTAGAAGCACAATGGCTTTATACAAATAATGAAGTTAATTTAATATACTCACCAATTCATCATTCTATATATTTTGCTTTCAGAAATTGGGAAATTTTTAATCCCTTGCCAATCTATTAGTTTCTCTGTCGTAGTACTTGATGGCTTGAATGATTTGAATTTATAGATGATGGCTTGTATCACTGAGGAATTAGAAATTACTAGGAATTCACGACAGAGATCAACAACCACTAGCTGATAGTGTCTATATTATGAAGCCATAGTAAACGGCCACCAAAGTATAGGATCGGTTAAGTTTTTCTTGTAAAGAGATGGATGGATCTGAAACTGCTACCATGATACACACCCTTGCTTGGTTTGTCTTGAATAAAAAAAAACCAATGCGACAAAGCTAAGAAGCAGCAGCCATATGTACCAACTGCATTGGGTCAGCTACTTCCAACCTACTTGTATCCTTTCCTTTCATTGAATGCTTGATTACTGATGTCTCTTGATAGCAGTATGCCTGAAAACGGCTGAGATTTTGGCCATTTCAGTATCTCTTACATGACCTTGGGTTTTTAGCTGAAACATCTCTCTCTCTTAAGCCATGGTTCATTGTCGGTCGAACCTTTGAACTATGAGCTATGAGCCTCATTGGGTTTCAGGGTTTTACTACTTAAAATTCATTGTAATTCACTTTGTATTATGTACTGGACCTAACCATGCTGTGTTCTGATGCTGCTCTTCTTCTGTTCACATTTCTGCTGGTAATTTTGATCCATTTTCTTGATCTTTTATGACTCGCCACTTGTTATTTGAAATGCTTGTTTCTGCTGTGCATTGGCAATCTTTTGTGCTGATGGTGGTTTTCACTTCCCTTCTTTTGTGATTTGGACAGATTAAGTTCATGTGAATGCTTGCACATTTCAGTTGGTTTGAGTGGCCCCTAGAATCTTATTAACACAGCTACCGAATGAATAAATGATTGCAATGAATAGCTCAAGATCAATGATGAATTCAAACATCATTACATTCCATGTTCTTTCAGGCAACACCAGACAAGGTAATGGTTTACATTTTCATGATGCGAGAGAATAACACCTGAGAATTATTTTTGCTGTGCTTAGTAGCAGTTGCTTTAGGATTTAGACAAATCCTTGTGCTCTCAAGTCAGTATATTTTGTTAGCACAGCCACAATCTCTAAGCTGTCATCACCACCTGCACCGATCATGCTCATCCTCACAGTCCTCTTAAACCTGACTGATATCCTGCTATCCCTCTAAGGAGGCCGATGCTTCCTTCTCCACCAGCTCCAAGATTTCCTTCCATCTCTCCGCAAGTTTCTCGCACACATTCCTTGTGATTCTCTTCTGCAACTTGGAACTTCTTATCCATTCAACACCGATCCACACATCACATTTGCTCGCCGAGAATTGCTGCGTACGCGGAAGTGGTCTTCCAATGGGACATTGTGAATCGTCATAGCTTCGTCGACCTTCCACCCGTCGCCGTCGATCGTTCGATTCTTGCGTTGGGTGCTACAAACCTCTCCACCAAACACACACATATGGCTGTTGAACTTGTAATCAACACTCCTTTGGTAACAATCCAGTTTTGTAGCTTCCCATTGAGTCACTCTGTAATTGAGACAGCCAACTTTACCCATTATCTTCTTCTCCAGACAACCCCCATCAAAAACTTCCATGAGAACATCTACCTGCAACAAAGGCAAGATGAGCAACAGCAGACAAAAAAGGAAGGAATAAGACATTAGAGATATCCCACTGACATCCAGAGGAAGCTCTAATGAGTACGCCTTGGAAAGATCAAAGTCTTCACTGCTCAAGATGGAGTCAGAATTCCCTCTCTTATCACAGCACATGACTTGGTCTACTTGGTCTTCTTCCACCTTCGCATGCTGCTCACCAGCCCTAGATTTTGATCCCCACAGAGCCATAATTGTTCTAGTGAGAGCAAGAATCAGTATACCGATTACCAAAAGAAATGATCATACAGCAAATGAACACTCCAACAGTACCTGCTTGCTTTGCCGAAAGATGCAAATGATTGAAACTGGAACTTTAGCCTTCCTTCGTCGTCTAAGGTTTTAGCTCCACGCCTGGCATCAAGTCCTCGACCGCTCCTCAGGGTGACGACCAGCGCCGGGCTGCCAACCGTCGTCAGAGATGGTGAAAGAACATGAATGTCTTCGATGTCTTCCCAAAGAAAGAAGAACTTGGTCTTGTAACCAAAGAAATTGGCATAGAATCCGAAAACTCTTGCAGATAGATAGACTTTGCCCTGCAGCACAAACATAAGTGTTGGCAGACAGATATCGATCGAAAGGCTCGTCGATTTCTGCAGCGATAAGAAGCGACACCTGCAATGGTAACTTCCTCTTCAAGCAGCACGAGAATTCATGGATCAGGAATTCCTCCGGCGGCAACGCAAAGATCTTTTGGAACGTCGAGTTCTTGTTAGGCGACGGAAAGTTCAACTGCCCAACACAATCGTGCGAGAGATCATCAACACTGCGGCGTCGCAATCCTGCAGATTAAATTTCCATACGTTGGTTTACCTTCTTCCCGACTTCCTTTTCCATCTTCCGTAGATATTCTCTAATGGTTTCAGCTCCTCCGGTGCTTCCTACAAATATTCTTAGATGCAGCTTGCTCCGAGACGACCGAGCAAGTCTTCCTTCGAGCGAAATCCACATGTCAGCCAGTTCTTCACGAGTATGTCTCAGAAAACTGATTTCCGCATGCCCAAGGCAGAGTTCTCGATCGAAAGGACCCTCGAAACTAAACACTTGGACGTCTAACACCGACGGCGGTTCTCGCATCGCATCAAACTCCAGTATGTCTGCACAGATCTTGGATGAGTTCAGATGATGCAGATCAAATGGTGGTGTGGATGCTATAAGATTTAGAAGCTCACCATTCCACTGAGGGTTTGCTGTTTGAAGCTGAACAGAGCTTGTTCTGCTTCTACCATTGCAGCTAAACACGACATAAGGATCTGGAAACCCAGGAGCCGCAGATGGTAACCTACTACCTTCAACCAAGGCCACAGTAAGCAGCCATCCATCACCATGAGCTTCGATCCCATGATCACTCCCTGCAAACAGATGCCAAAAACATTCTCCGATCAATCTCCAGATCCAATAATGAAATCAAACAGGAAAAAACAAGTACCTCTCTGCAATCTCGCCTGTACAAAATGTGAAATCATAGTTACAACATGCTGTACTTGAAGAAACAAGATGCCAGCAACAATTAGCTCCCCAAATGTGTCGGGCAAATCAAAACCATCAAACTCCAGTCCCTGGATCTTTTGCGGCTCTGATAGAAGAATGTGGCAGAACACATACAACGCCATCAAAATTGTAGAGCACACTGTCGGATTACAGAAGTACTGCATGAACAATTTCCAGTTGGATCGGTGATCCAGTTGCAATGGAGCCAACAAATGTTCCTTGGAGCTGAGTGGTTTGATGTGGTGCGATAGCAACTCAGCGAAGCTCTCATAGCTCTCCTTGAGTCCCTGCCGAGCAGTTGCCTCGATTATGCTTTTCATGACAGTGCTTTGATGGAAATTAATGTCCCATGATATGGAAAGACAGGAGCTTGTTTCACCTGAAGATAAATCTGGACCAGGTGTGATCTTATACAGTAAAAGAACCTGAAAACAATTACCATAAGGCACATTCGGAGTGCAAACCCGATTCAAGACTGCAAACTTCTTCCCATCTGCCTTGAGATATACCTGCTCCTCGGTGGCCTTGACGGCTTTCACCAACTTGGTTGCGGATTTGGTGTAGGAAACAAACCTTGATAGACATGGATTGTCTTGGCATCTCCATTTCCATGGCTTTTCTTCGTAATCAAGACTTCCCTGCTGCTGTGCCAGATCTCTCCTGAACTGAGAATTGGGTTTGTACAAGAGAGAATTGAGATGCTTGGGTTCAATCATATATGTCTGCTCAAGAAGAATGCCCCCTTGGAGGTTTTCCGGAATGTCGATTTGATCCCTTGTCTGCATAATTTCCATAGCATCTTCGAAGGTACCATCAAGAGATTTCGCATCTTCGGCACTCTCGATGCCCGGAAGCGTATCAGAAAGTTCCAAGGAGTCGTAGTTTTGTGAACCAGCAAGAAAGCTTTTTCTGCTCTTGTCACCCTCTGTTGCTGCAGAATGGGCTTCTCTCTGCCGATGTTCGATGTTCATCATGTTGTCGGATTCTGTGCTTGAAGGAATGTTCGTAAGTACGACAGGCGGCAATTTAGGCTGTGGATCACCCGCTCCGTCGCAGAAGCTAGAATGAGGAGAACTACTAATACCATTATAGTTACAGTTTCTTCCATGCAGGGAGACGGTGAGGAGGATTTCCCCTGAAAGCTTATCATTGTCAGGTCATCACTAAAGAAGCATATGACATAGAAGCTAACAATCTCGAGTAACATGGATACTCCTTTTTATGAGAAGAAGAAGAAGAAGAAGAAAAATCTCAATCAATTTATCACACTCGCAGTGTCTAAAGGAACAAAGGAGAGGAAAGAAAGTTGGATCGTCGAAGAAATATCATTGCTGAAAGTGAAATTTAGTTCACAGAGATTGGAGATATATGAATAGGATTCAGCAATTTGATTGGAAGACCATTCAAAACAAGCACAACAGAGCAACTCGTACAGTTTTACTGTGAGAGTGAGACGATACCACAGTCCTTGGTCTTGGATTTGGTGCCACGGTGCCGCCGCGGCTGCAGCGAGAACCAGGTGGGGGGTTTCGCCTCCGCCTCCTCCTCGACGTAAACGCGCACGCGACCGAGCAGCTTTGCCGCTCGTCCTCCACCACCGTCGCCTCCGCCTTCGCGGAAGACACTGAGCTTAAGCCCTACGGTCCCCTCTTCCTCCTCCTCCTCCTCCCCCATCCAGAACGCGAACTCCTCGTTCCAAACGGGGTCGGGCGTGCCCGTGACGGTCCTCGTCCTCGACTTGTGCTTCCCCGCCTTGATCTTCGCGTAAACGCCGGACGGGGAGGCGGCCCTGGACGGCGGCCATGCCAGGCCCCTGGCCTCGGCGACGTGGACGAAGAGCCTCATGGCGTGCTCGGGATGCGATCGATCGTTGGGATATCGTACGTCGGAAGTCGAGAGGAGAGAGACGGAATGCAGCGCGCGAAGCTGGTGGTAGGAGGAGATGAGGCGGCGGAGAAGCCATGCAAGTTGGTGAAACGTGGATGGCGACCGAAGCTTACACCGCACTAGGCGGTCGGACGCAGCGGGGGTGGACACGTTATTAGCTGCCATTCCTGAGGCAGTTGACGAACGATATATACATAAAATTTTAAATTTTAATTTTATAAAATAATTTTTTTAACCTTATATAGATCTAAATATTTTATTTTTCTAAATATAAAAATCTATAATTAGCTCAGATGTGTCTATTTATTTATGTTATCATCAAATAATTTAAAGACTCATGATGATATATATGATGCCATTTTTGATATAACACCTTCCAACATTGGATCAACTTCACAGAGAAAAGTTGAGGAAGTGAACATTGAAGGAACGCTTCAGCTTCCTCTCCTCCCTCTTCAACCTCTTGTTGTGCCTTGTGCAGAATGATGCCACTGCCTCCTGCATGGAAGTTGGTCCACACACGAAGACACCCACTTCAGAGTCTCCCGTGCCGGTGGCAATCTCAGCGAGCATGTCTGTAGGAAACAGAGAAGCTTCACCGTCTTGGAACTGTAACAGATGCTCAATTACAGCATTTAAGGTCACAGTGAGAGAGAAAGTGGTACCTCCAAGATTGGGCCTGCAGCCAAAGTATATTTCGTGCGTCTGCAGTGCACCATGGACCTTGTCAGGTAGCATCTCTGCAAGTTCATGGTGCTTGTGAGATAATTCTTGGCTATCATCCACTGACTTCCTCCATCTTGACAGAACAGTGGCCACTGTACAACAACTTGCAGCAATGGCCAACGAGCAGAGGAGAAGTAGGTCGCCGATCCATGATGGGTTCTTCTTTTTGGAGGACTTCTTTTCTTGGTGCACGAAAAGATGGGTTAAGATGATAAGAGAAGCAAGGAAAAGAAGAAGAGAGAGGGCTGTAATGGCCGCCTTCCACGGCAGCCCTTCAGGTGTTGGCACAGCAGTCCCTTCAGGGGAAGCTTTGTTCATGGTGATCGTCTTCACCCGAGACAGATCCTGCAGCATCTTCTCTGCTGTAAACGGTGGCCCATCTTCCTCTGTCACGAAAAGCTTCAGGTGCAGATTGCCAAGCTCAGCAGAATGGGTCAGCAATAATGGAGAGATCAAGGCCAGCATGCTGAGGTCCTGGACCTTCTTCACGGCATATATTAGATGTACCTTCGTTGGACTCCTCTCCATGGCACCATTTCTCGAAGCTATGTCTTGCAGAATGCTCATCAATGGTGATATCCCAGATCCACCAGCTATCAACACTAAGCTCCTGTACCTGCTTCGGTAGACGTTCTTCACATCATCAAATTCAACAGGAACATTGGAAGATTCTCTCGGATAAAAGCTCTGTTACCTCAGGTGTTCGACCGTCGCCGGCCCATACGGCCCTTCAACTGCTACCGGGATGCTCTTCGGATGATCGGAACCGGCATCGGTCATCGAGTTCAACATGTCGTAGAGGTCAGTAGTCCACTGGCCTTGGCACTTGATCAAGACAGAGAGCTCAGAATCATCCATGTTGGAGCTGGAAGTTATGCTGAAAGGGTGCCACTGGAACTCGGATATGCCTGGTACTTTGATGAAGACGATGCTTGTTGGGGTGTAATCCATGCCTGTGGTAGAACATCAAACCAAACCATTAATTCTTCCGACCACAGAAAGAACAAGAACCAGTTGCAGAGCATTAAGAGCTTACAGGGATGTTTTGGGAGAGTGAGCTTCACAGCTCTGCAAGGTAATATGCTTGCAGAAACAAGGAATGTCTGCTTTCTTGACTGTATGATGCGCAGTATCTTGTCAAGGGCAAAGAGAAGAACACCAGCGAATACCAGATAGAAATGCCTGTCCCCAGCATGGATCAAGAAGAAGAGGATGAAGACCATGTAGAGATGGTGGGCCGAGAAGAAGAGCTGGAACTGCTTCCTCCTTACTTGGGGAAGTGATGTTATCCAGATGATGACTCCGGTGGCCAAAGCAATTGCACCGGCAATGTTAACACGCCCTGTTGCTTGCCATTGTATGATCTGTAGTGCATGAATCATTAGCAAGAACTACAGATCGAATTTTAAGGATGAACAACATATATGTATGCTATATATACTTGCCTCCTTCAACAATCTGTTCTTGGTAGCCCATATGAACATGATACTGATGCCATGTAAGACCGAGAGCAGTATCATCGTATTACCTATCCAGATGTGATACCTGACCGAAGCTTCGTACTGTACTCCAAGAATCCGGAACACCGCCATCCCTCTCAGAATCGGCAAGAACAGGAGCAGTAGGCAGGCTTCGCTCAGAGAACCGATCCGAACACCCATGTGCATCATCTTTAGCTGCCACCTGAGAGCCAGAGAAGGTGGTGATGACGTACGGGAAGCAAACCGCTGTTGCAGCGATAGATCTTGTGGCTCACCTATTCAGTTTTAGAGACTTGTAGGGCGTCATCTTCTTGAAGTCGCTGGAGACGTTAGAGTAGTATGTCCACGCCAGGAAGACGATGAAGAGGGCTACACCAAGGAGTTCTGCAGCTGATAGTACGCCGACTGGGCTGCTGACGATGAGTGGATTCGTGAAGGCGGGCATCAAGGGCCTTCTCTTCCTGCAGAGAGAATTCAGAGTCCCATCATGCTGCTGCTGCTGCTACAAGGAATGCGGAGATCACCGGAGCAGAGTACCTGAGGTCGTCCTTTTTGGCAGCGATGTGCAAAGAGATGTAGCCCAGTGTAGCCACAGCTAAGACCGGGAGACAGTAGACCACCACAGTGAGACCTGAACGCAGGGTTGGACAACGAAGGTTAGTGGCACTCAGCAGAAGGTAAGAAGGCAACACAAGAAGTGATCCCATGGTACCGTAGTCGCCGAGGAAGGTGGCGTTGGCCCGGTCTTCGGCGACGTGCCATGATCTCTTCCACGACTGTGTGGGGCGGATGATCCAGATGCAGGCCCATGCTGCAAGCAGCACGGCCATGAACAGCTTCAGGACGAGAAGAAGGAGAAGCGTGGTGTTCCTCGCCATGGATCCTGGAGACCGTCTGTGATGAGGACGATGGCAGCGAGATCCTCCTCTTATGCGATGGATTCGAGTGGGAGGAGACCACGGTCTTCCGTCTGATTCTTCTGGTGGCGAGGTAGTGCGGTGTGGGCGCGCGATGGTGCAACCGAGAAAGCAGAACGGTATTATCTGCTGCGTGGTGGCTGTCATTGCACTTGTCAAATGCATACGCCATAAGCATTATCGATCTCAGCTGCGGTCCTTTTTCGAATCAGAGTGTGTGGCCATGTGTTCGATCAAATGCCCGTTGACCCTTCTCCTCCAAAAGCAAGAAGGATGAGAGGGGGAATGGGGATAGACATTGGGACACCCAAAAAGTTGCAGAAAGGTAGGAGTGTGATCGGCACGGGTAGCCACGCGCTGAAGTGGTGCCATGGCCGGCCGCGTGGTGACTTGGCGATCCTCGCTGTGCAGCTCCGTCGGCATGGAAGGAGCACACCATTGCATGAGAGGATTAAAGTAGTAATTAATCATATCTGAGATATATATATATATATATATATATATATATAATTTTAAAACGAATTTAATTTGTTATTTATTTAATAAATTTTATTAGTGTATGGATATATTACATATATAATAATACTCAAGGAGGATAGAAAAGAAACAAATGTAAAAAAAAGAAATCAAATTCAAGCTTGAAGATTTTAAATATTCATCATAAGTCTATCAATTAAGAATATAATTAAAAATATATATTATTATTATTTATATCAAGTTAAAAATATTATCTTCATCAATTTATCAAATTATTTGATATAATTATTATTTTTTTCTTATAGTTGTTTATGGGACTAGAAAATTATAATGCATCATTAGAGAATGGATAAGTTTAAATTTTTTTCGACTTAATGTGTGAGTGGTATAAGATCATAATTATATTTATATTGTTGGATGAAATGATTTCATATCCATGTGAGACATAAAAAGGTACGAGGTTTTCACCATAGGAGTTTGTTCCATAGTGAGAGTGTGTATGATACCTTAAACTAGGTAAAATTATCTCAATTAAATGAAGTGGATCCGAGATGGAAATTTGATACTAAGAGATCTTAGAACAACAACTAATGAACCAATAGTGTTAGAGAGAAAGAGATTATGTCGTAGATGATTCAAGCGTTATATCACTCCATAGGATGCTAACTCTGATGCCATGTTGGATTTAGGTCAAAGTCATCGTACTTGGACATCAGCATAATATGATAGCTTAGACTGGTCAAATCTAATACATGTATCTCTGTAAGAGAGATGTGCTAGATGAGAACAAGCAGTGGAGGCATCACCAGTGTTGACCCTTCAAAACTCACTCAGTAAAGTCAACTGCTGGTGTGTCCCGTCTCCTCGTTCATCTTTCTATTGAGTGGCCCGAGTCTCTCCTGCAACTCCGCGTTCACCTTCATCTCCCTCAGCAGCTGCAGTTTTAGGTCATCCACGGTCTGCTGCATGCTCCTCACGTACCCCCAGAGCTGCTGCTCCCTCAGGCTCTCCTGCTGCCCCTCCTTGCAGCCGCAGTGCGAGAGCACGTCCATCACCATCCCCCGCTGCAGGTCCAAGCTGCTCAGTAGGGACACCAGGTTGGGCACCAGCGTCTGCTTCAACACCGACAGTGGCGCCTCGCTTGCCTTCTTGGCCACCTCCTTCTCTTCCGCTCTCGAGTGGTGGTGGTGGCGGTGGTGGTTCTCCTTCTCATCATCTTCGTTTCCGTTCTTGTCGTCGTCCACGACATGACTGTGGGGATGAGCGGTGGGCTGGTCGATGGGCTCTTCACCCCCGAAGCAGACGCATTTGTCGTCGCTCTCCACCGGGTAGACCGGATCCAGCTCGAACACGTCCTCGTTGAAGTTCCACCCGCTCACCCTACGGCTCTTGACGAGCGGGGATGTGGATCCTTCCCTGTCGTTGCTGTTGCAGTCCACTACCCTTCGCTCTATGCACCTATCCTCCACCGCCGGCACCGCCTGCAGCACGTTCTTGACGAAGTAATCCGTGGACTTGCAGTTCTTGAAGAAGGGATGGCGGAGAAGCTTGTCGGCCGACGGCCTCTTGGAGGGGTCTCGGCAGAGGCAGGCGGCCACCATGTCCTTAAACGCCTTGGAGAACTTCTTCTTCTTGCAGTTGCCGCCGGTGCTGTCTCTGCCGTGCTCCTCGAGGCGCAACCGGTTGGTGATCTTCATCACGAGCGACTTGGAGAGGGGGAGGTGGGACAGCGGCGGGCGGCCGTGGGCGAGCTCGAGCGCGGTGATGCCGAAAGACCAGATGTCGGCCTTGATGCCGTAGCCCATGTGGGAGTGGATCACCTCGGGGGCCATCCAGTAGGGCGTGCCGGCCATGTCGTTGAAGAAGGAGGAGGAGGAGGACGACATGTAGAGGGAGACGGAGGAGGAGGGGTGCGACTCGTAGATGGAGGCGGAGACACCGAAGTCGGCGAGCTTGACGGAGCCGTCGGAGTCGACGAGGATGTTGCCGGCCTTGATGTCGCGGTGGATGTGGCCCTGGCCGTGCAGGTAGGAGAGAGCGTGGAGAATCTCCCGCAGGACGACAGCGATGGACGTCTCGGGGAGGCCGTCGGGGAAGGAGGAGGAGATGATGGACTGCAGCGAGCCGGCGGCCATGAAGGGCATCACCACCCAGAGGTGGCGGTCGACCGTGAAGGAGCAGTGGGCGCGGAGGACGTTAGGGTGGGAAAGCAGCGCCATGGCCTTCGCCTCCCGCCGCACGTCGTCTAAGTTGGCCCTCGACCGCTCCAGATCGATCGACTTGATGGCCACCACCGAGCAGTCCATCGGCAGGCACGTCGCCTTGTACACCACGGCGCTCACGCCGCTGCCCACCTCGTACAGCAGCCGGTAGCACTTGGCATCCAGCGGATACATGACGCTCGGCTCCTTCTCTAAACTATGAGCACGTCAAACCAAGTCTTCTGGCTATATAAAGATCATAGGGCCATGTAGCTTTTGTGACTGATCCAACAGGTGGCTTCTCGGCGACCACCACCCCTGCAGATGGTTCACTGATCGATTAATGGCCAGGAAAGAAGTAGGTGCAGCAGATGTACTAATCATGTGAGCAACAAAGTAATGAATGAAACCGGGACTCCCGTGAGACGTGAGACGTGAGACGTGAGAGAGAGATTTGGGAGTGCTTTCTGCCACCTGCACAGGTCCAGCTAACTTGATGATGGTGAACTTGTTCATGGTGTCATATGGAACACGGCAAAAATGTTACCACAAATATAGCTAGACAAGATCAAGAAAGGGATTCAAGTTGTCATAATAGATTGTAAGAACAGTTCCTCACATTGAAACATCAACTCGTTCTCGAACCTCTGTAGCACGAATCGCTCCTCCTGTGCGAGGAGGCTCGTGACACTGCACGGGTCATTGGAGAAGGGCACGCGTCCGGTTCTTCCAGCGCGGTGGAGATAGTCGACTGCAGTCCTTGGAAGGTCGAAGTTGTAGATGTGAGTTGTTTGTGGCAGGTCAAGCCCTCTGCTTGCGAGGTCTGTCGACACCAAAAGACAATCTCGTTGTCTGACTTCCTGCAATGAAAATTGATGTATCAATATAAGAGAGAGAATGTAATAGTTGGATTTACTTGCTAAATAAGAATCACACAATAGCATCTCCAGGTATGTTTCAGCCTGTACACATCAGATATAAGAAACTCAAGGATTAAGTTACACTTATCTTGAAGTTAAATTGGCTTAATTGGAATCACCATTCATGAATTAGGCAAAATTAATGTTTGGGGATGCTCAACATGCAGTATATATCCTAAGGTCCAACATAATAACTGAATAAAGCATTTATAAACTGTATATAGCACGTAATGAACTACTCATCTAATTTGTTTCACATAACAATTATTGCTTCGAACAAAAAAGGAAAAGAATATATTACCCTAGGAAGCAGCTTATATTTACAGATATCGTGATCTATAACTTTTGAGTCTTGAGTTTGTCATGTAACATATGTAGTTTGGCCAGAGCAAAAAAGTATAACAAGTTTTTATTGCTGCGTATGGAAAAAAATCAATCAGTTAAAAAACTAAAAAAAAAATAAATCAGTCTTTTGATGATAAATAACATTATAAACCAATAACAAGAGGTGAAGATGAGACTAGCTTTATATAATATATACTACAGTAATGTGCCAGCAACCAGACCTGCATGTATTAATCCAAATTAATTCAGATATTTACCGTGAATGAACCTGCTCGTGCGTTAAAGTTCATGTCATCATCTAGGAGAAGAACCTCTAAGCCTCCCCTATAAGAAGCTTTCAGGAAATCCAAGACAAGAGCCGTCGAAGGAGGCTGTCCAGCCTTTTTAGACTTCTCAGACTGACCAAAATTTACAAATAAGTTCATAAGTTTGCAGATAAGCAAATATTATCACTAGGATACAGTCAATTGTTTGCAGAATATGTAAATCTAACAAAATAACTGCATATGACAAATATACATGTGCAGAATGGTTCTAGCTGGAGAAATGCTTAAAATATAATTTAACAGTCAACCAGTCTCTTCCTTGGAATGAACAATATAAAAGTTGTCTTGAATAAGCTGCTGATAAAGTGTAATCATAGAGGGTGGCAAAAGAACATAATGACCAAAAGCTACATGTACATGAGTAAATATTTAGCAGAGATCTCAAGAAGTTATGCTGCAATCAGTCATAAATTAATCAGAGATCTCAAGAAGTAAAGGACTTCTTTCAAATTTCTAAGCCGATATTGATGGTAACTTCAATTTGGCTTGACTGGAAAAATATATGACCTAAATAAGTCTCTAACATCACCATGGAACTTCTTTCAAATTTCAATCCTGAACTAGCAGAATTTTGTTGGTACTGCTGGTTATTTATCATTACTGAAGATAATAGAAAATAAATAGAGGCTATTAGTGGACAGCTGGAGAAGACCTAGACTTATAACCAGACCGAAAAATAGCTACTACTTTCCAAAAGTGAGCTGTCCTGATCAAAATTTAGAATCCAATTGATTTATCAAGCTCGGACATGAAGTTCATATTTGAGACGGATTTTGCAATTATATTAAGCACATTAACTGCTTCGATTACATGTAGCTGTCATTTTAAGATAGCCTCAGTTTAAGAGAAAATTAACTTGGGGGGCCTAATAATTGGAAGATTTTGATAATATAGCAGATACTGTTTAGCTTCTAAAGCAGCTAACCAGCAGAAAAAGGCACTGTATCGTGCAGCTCAAAGAGAAACCAACGGTATGTGCTGATTTAAAGAGCCAAATACAAGAATCATCTATTCTACATATCCACAGATCACTTTCTCCTTTGTTTCTAGCTATCCTTATTTCGAGATTCTACATACCCTGATATATGCTAAAAACAACTTGCTAAAAATGACCATCCTCCAATTTAAAGTAGATTCTTATCTGATTTTGCTTTGATTAAACATCTAACACAAGACAGCCATGTATTAATATACTTTTGAATATGGTACATCTACTTACTAAATTGATTTGTTAATCAACATTCTTAGATTTTAGATTACTTTACTGTAAGTTAATGACAATTGAAAATTTTCAGTAGCCAATTTGAACCAACCCTGCCTTCAAAATATCAAGTAAATTAAAACTCTAGCATTATTTCTCAATTCCTTATTTTTTAACCATGAAATGCTTACTAATTTTGCCCCATTAAGCAAGTAACCTATTGTTAATTAAAACTGCAACAAACCCCATACTCAAGAAGCAGCACTGGTGAAACATGCTGATGGAAATGGAAGACGCAACCAACCTTTTCAAGCAAGAGGAAAAAAATCTATATTACAATTACATATTTTAGAATTAATTAAATGCAAAAAAAAGAATGACATATGTCCTTTGGCAGCACGCTTAATAGATTTGTCAAGAATAATTATTCAAAGATGAATTTAACCTGTTCACCAACAAAAATTATGCCAGATCTGGGAGAATCTTGCTCAAGTAGGTTCAGTAAAGTACATAGTTTTTCTTTCTTCTTACAAATCTGCAAAAACAGAGTTACAAGTAAAAATAATAATAATTTCTATCAGTTTGCATAACAAGATAACTAAGCATACTAATAGAGCTATGTAATATTTTCATGTAAATCCATCTAGAAAGTATTTAAACCATGAAGTAGTTACATGATCCACAGTTAATAAAGTGATATGGACAATAGATACAAAGTCCTTAAAGAAGCAGTAGCCAAGACAACGATGCAAGTACATAATTAACATTCATTGAGAGTATCAAAATGTCATACCACAAATCTGTGACAAAGGTGAGAGGGCATTGGCTCCACAGGATTCACATGGATATGAACCACATCATTCTGAATCACCAAAAAGATAATTATTTCAAGCAGACAAGACTAGGACCCCTTTTAGTACCAAAAATAAGATGTGTATAATATTAATAATAATGCCAGAAAAGGCAAAAAAATGAAAACAGTTGAAAAACCTTGGTCCATTTTTGTTGTATACAGTCATACAGGAAACGGTTGTGTTGAGGAATAGATGCACTGGCAAGCACAGTCTGGCGATTATCAATTGTTGAATATGATGTCAGGAGCTTTCGAAGAGAGTGCACTTGTTTCGATGAATGGAACATAAAATCAACCTGCCAAGACAAGACAATGATATGTGGATCAAAATGATATCAGACAGAAGCAAATGAAATTCAACTGTGGAACAAAAAATAATTAATTAACACAAATCAACTAACTTCCAAATGCAATCATGTAGGTGGGCTTGAACAACAGGATAAAGCCAATCAGAAGTTCCTCATATCAAACTAAAAGAAGCACAGGAAATGAAAAATATAAAACACATCCTCATGTTTTCGGAAATTATATAGAGAAACAACAGGGTATTTAAGTCCAACTAATATTCTCAAAAGCAAATTCAGGGATACAATTGGGTTTACAAGGTCTCGGGTCTTTTACAGGTCAAATGTTAAATGTTCAACCAAAAGTGAGTTTCAGGTGAAAAGGCTAAGAACCTGTGAAACTTCTGCAAGGATTGATTTTGCATTGTTTGATGGAACACTTATAACAGATGAACACATCAAAACCCATCACAAAATGCTTGCAAGGGTTGAATGGATTTAATTGAACAAAAAAAAAATTCTGTTGTCGAGATCAAGGTTTGCCTTATTGTGGCATAGGGGAGTGCGATACCTTTCTAGCAAGGTGCAATTCCATGTAGCACCAGCACATGTACCCTATGCCAATTGGCATGAAGGAAAAGCTAGCCAGGCCAAACATCTAGCACAAGTCAGTGTCATGCCTGTCAGTACCTTACTGGCACAGTACACTTCAACCCATTCCAATACATGCAGATCAGGTGGCAAATCCTTGGCCTAGACTCAATCCATGGCAGACCATTTATATGCTTGTTATTGAATTGTTATTAATCCATAAATTATGCAGTACCACATGCCTGCAGTCTGCAGGAGACCACTTTTATGCCTGTTGCTGCATAGATATCAAACCCAAAGTTACGTAATATGTTATTCTAGTTACTTGGATGTTGCAGCTCAAACTTGGAAATGGTTTCTCAATATAACATGAACAGCAGCAGTTGTGTCGTGGTAGCATTTAAGGGTTACAATTTCGCCTGTAATGGTCCAGACATAATCTGGGATGCGGACTTTCCCTTTTCAGGCACTCCAGTTCAGTTCACTATTCTTCTATAAGCCCTCGGCCAACACATTATACAGTCACTCAGGAATCACAGTAGTGCTGGAAGCCACCCACACCGCACACCATCCACACACCATAGGCCCACTGCTAGCCTGGTACTTCCCCTTCTCCTCCATCCCACCTCCGCCTCTTCTCCTCCTCTTCCTTATGCTTCCTCCCTCCACAACAAAATGGTACACTGTTACATGCCGACATACCATGTGTCGTCATCTAAGCATGGAACGACCCGATCCAGCCATGGATCGATATAGGTGAGGCATCCAAAATTGAGTTTTTTGGTAGCATCAAGGATGCATGGAAGCCCACATAACCACCTATCTCACGATAACTAAATATTGAGTACACACCCTATATGAGCATTTCTCTATGTATGACTTTAGTTATGGTAAATCCGAATAAAGGTCCTTGAGAGTCATCCTCCATATATGCCATAACTTTTTGATAGATGATAGTAGCGACCATATTAGCCAAGTTGATTTCTGGTTCATGATAATAACCCATTAGATTCAGCCAAATACACAATCCACATAGACCATAAGATTGGATCTTCTTAGCTAGTTATGATAACTGTTTCTTTTCCCAAGTCAGACACACTGACAAGCAAGAATGAAAAAATAGTGCAATTTGAATCAAGAATAAGTTAATATAAATGAAGAAGATGATATTGCAACTAACTATGATTTTTAGCCAAGACCACTAGAAGTCTAGAACCCACTAGAGGAAAACAAACTGTGTAACTTGAAATGAATGACGGTCAAGCTCAATGACAGCCACCAACAGAGATAATTTCAACTTGAATTAAGTAATAAATCGAATGGATGAAATCATGAAAGATATATATTTGAAAAATACCTCATCAATTACCAAAATTTGCATTGCTTCAAGTTTAAGAACATGTTTCTCAAGCATTTGACACAAGCTCCCAATTGTAGCAACCACTATCTCAGGGGGTTCAGTCTGAGCATGATAAATATGATTAGCAAAAACAAATTACAAAATGAAAAATAACAGGTTAATCTACAAAATTGAGTAATTACTGATTACATGGACTTTGTCTCCACTCTAAGCAAGGAAAATCAAGGAGCTGTGGCATAATCTGAATTCTGAAGTATAAGGCTTGAAATAGTCCAATATTTTACCAGTGAAATTCTTAAGCAATACTGTACATGAGTTTTGTATCAGTAATGTTCATATTACTGAAGCAAATATTCTAGAGATTGAAAGGGAAATAAGAGACAAAGAAAGGAAGAGAAAAAAAACAAAGAAAGAAAGAAGAAAAAGAAGAACTTGAACTATGTCATATGTTGTTCCACATCAGTCTAAAACCTCACGTCAAGGCAAAAGGAAGAAACAATCCATGTAACAATGTAAAATTTTGGTCAACCATTTTTGAAAAGGAAAAAAAAACTATCGAAGACCTCACATAACAGCAAGGAAACCTAAACTTACAATGATTTGGAACCAATAATTCTAACAACTTAAAAACCTTATGATAACAATAAATAACTGTACGGGCTGCATGAAAGTTATTAAAGTCGATATCAATTAGGATTGCTTATTGCAATCATGATAAAAATGATGCAAGCACAACAATGACATGATAAGGTACCTTCAGCCAGCTCTTATGTCTTTTCAGCATGCCACCGTCCAACAAAGCCATGATAGTACATGCCTGCATCTTTTCAAATCCTGTTGGCTTTGCAGCAAGCATTCTAGCAACCTTTGTAACCTTTAAATTAAAAATAAGACTGAAGGATCAGCAAGATAATAATATTGGTCATATCGTTTTTTATAAATAATAAAGAACATACTTGAATACCAAGTTCCCTGGAAGGCACAATGATAAGGGCTTGAACAGCAGACCTTCTAAAATCTACAGCTGAAAATACAGATAACATATAAGCCAATGTTTTTCCTGAACCTGTCTAGAGAGAAAAATACTACTTGTCAGATTATCAGAAGATTTCCAAGGACACAAAACATAATTAATGCATATTTTATGGAACACAAGTAGCATCAATGATATAAATCTATCACCGAACGATAAATGTCAAGCACTTGCACATAAGTGTACCACTGTAGGCCGATCAAGGGATTGGATTGGACCGAATTGGATCTAGCATGATTCCGGCGTGGTTCTCAGCTAAAACGTGATATGAAACAAAATTTGACACCCCAATAACTCATATAGCAATCCGATCAGATGATCAGATAACAGATCTAATGTGGCTTAGGGTTAACCCAATCCAACAATGATCTAATGAAATCCTATTATATTTATATGCAGCCTACACATTACATATAGGATCTAATGCAGGTTCCTGACTATAGATAAATCCAACAGCGAGAAACCAACTACCTCACCCTTTTCCTCCAACAAGAGTCTAACAGTGCATCTCTCTCTCTCTCTCTCTCTCTCTCTCTCTCTCTCTCTCTCTCTCAATATCAGTCTCTCTCTCCTTGTTCACTCTTTTTCTGTATCTCCCACTCCGTATTCTAGGACTTTATAGTAATAGCTCAATTAGACATGAGATTAATGCACGACAAGCTGTGTATTAGGACTGGTCACAGAACAGATTATCAGATAAGGAATCTGAATAATGGCTCGATCAGGACTTGTTCAGCTTAGAGCTGATCCAACAGAATCACATCTAAAGTTATCTGATCGGTATCCCATTCTGAGATGAACTGATCTAATCGGATATCTGAAGAAAGATCAGATCAGGTATTAATCAGCTTAGGGCTGATGCAATGGAATCCAACTTGATGGGGTCTGATCAGTACATCGATCATAGATAAACCAATCTGGCCCAATCCATTTATAATTCTACACCAGTGTGGTACAGTCCAAGCCAGTTTCAAATGTACAGCAGCCTCACAAAATAGTGGTGGTGTTAGAAAAAACAAAAAGACCTAAGAGCTGCTCAGAGATATATTAACTTTGGTTTTCTGCATATAACCTCACGAAATTGTGATATCATGTATTTTCCCCCACAAAATGTCAACTATTTTGAACCCTCTATAACTTAGATTCCATGTAAACACATCTTCACATATATGTACACCCAGTGGAAGAATCTTTAAGTGTTCAAGTTTATATAAGCTCTTTTCTCAAAGACTAACTCTTTTGACAATTCCTTTTCTGAGTTCGGGAAAACCTTCATTTAGTCCATTATGATATGAATATAAGTATATAACTCAATAGTTCAGTTCAACACCTCATTACTTGATGGTTCCACAGGCATTGAACATAAGCTCCAGTCACATGTTTAACATTCCAAAATCAGCAGTTGTCATGAATGCATTTAAGCAACTCTAGTTTGGCAAAAGTTAATAGTATCTGAACCAAATTCGAGAAGAACTAAACTGCTAGAAAACTAATGTGTTTATCCAGATGCTTCCTGGTTAAATAGCATTTATTTGGAGCAACAAATACCTGTGTTTTCACGAATACAAATATATGCTGATCCACTATCAAAGTTGGTTAGAAAGTTGCACTTATACATACATGAACATGTATAGTGTGTACACAAGATTATAGCACAAAAACCCCTATGTGTTACAGTATTGTATATAATGACCTGTCCTTTTATCTGATTCCATTCCAAGCTAGCAAAAGCCCCTGTTGTCCACTTCAGTGAAATCATTGTTCAATTACTGAAATAGGATGATGAATCTAACCCTAATTTTTCATAGGATCATCAAGATAGATAGTTGGTACCAATCTCAAGCACGACCCCTTACTTTCCCAACCAACTTTCAACATATGCTGACTGATTTCCATCTAGTTTTCAATTGATCTTTGCAAATCCAGGCTAATTTCTGATAATTTCAAGAAGGCCTGACCCAAAATCTAATTTGACCGTTAAGGACAAAATATCATCTAGAGAAATACAACTTGAGGATCTACAGCAACTCAACTTCTGACCATTTATTGTCAAACAACCAAATTCCAAAATGCAATAAATTGTGGTCCTGCTTCACAAATCCTGCAGAAAGAATGACACTTCACATGGCTCTCAATAATACAACTGCAATCTAGTACCACCGTCCAACTAGCAAGACCTTATCATTCACATCCTCATAAACCAAGTTTCATTGTTTGTCCATATTCAACAACAAATCTAATTTCAGTGTGTTAAAGTGTGATAGTTGATCCAGTAGTTTCTTTAAGTAGCATCTGAAAGGCATTTCGTTTAAAACATTCCACAAAAGCAATATGCTAAACTGTTAATCACCTGAGCATGGAGTATACAATCCCTTCCAGCCAGAAGAAGAGGTAAGGACTGGCGTTGAACATCAGTAGGTAGAACATAACCTATCTCTTCTGCCCTGTTCCAACCAAAAAAAAAAAACACATTTTGTGATCATATATCCATGAATTTTGTATGGAGTACTGAGAACGAAGAAACGAAATGGAATTTGTCAGTCACTAAGTACTTGCCATACGACTTAGAAATAACTAGTCATATGACTTCATTCAAAGTCTGTCCGGAGGCGATAAAGGGTAGAAGCTCAAACAACAGAAGAAGGAAAGTGAGAAGAGCCGCCGAGAGAACTGGGACCTACCTCTGAAGGATGTGTTCCGGCACTTTTCCACGACATATCTCACGAAGCGTTGGAGCCGCTGAAGGAGGAGCCTGGGCCGCCTGCGCTCCTCCGCAGAAAAGCGCAGACGAAGCGTTCGACGAAATGACAGGGTAGGAGGAGAACGAAAAGAACCGGCTCGAGAGGGGGACAGCGTGCCAACGTCCGGGAAATTTTGGGGCTCGCGGAGAGGAGAGGAGGTCAACGGGGAGGGAACATCGAATCCCAGGCAGCGCCCAGGCGGCGGCACCGCCGCAGAGGCACGCCATCGCCACCCGATCTCCAAGAACGGATGACAGAAAGAAGGGGCGGAGGGGGGGTGGGTTTTGGTGCTCGACCCGTCTCGACTTGTTGGACGCCTAAAACCCGAAGCGGATCGGGTCAGCTTGAAAGCAATAGCTTTATCGGATGTGACCAATCGATCCGAATCCGCTTAGACATGTGAAGTTGGTTCTTTACGCAACAAAAACAGTTTCCCCAAATTTTAGTATCGAATTTTGCTATTAACTTTTCTTAGATTTGACACTTTGATACAATCTTCTAATTCCACTATCTAACTTAAGCGTCAAAGAAACCCCTTATCGAGCACGCTATCGATGTAATTTTTATAGACTCGAGATTTGTCGACTCAACGGTCTCGGTATCAAATCCACTCAAGATTTAAAAAAATTACCATTGAATCACCCTCCTAAAATATATTTGATTTATTTACCAAAAGAATATGCTATAATTTTTTTGAAAATGATTGATAATAAAATTTTGTTAGATCATTATAAAAATTTTGATATCAAATTTTACGTCAAGATTGTTAGGATCAAAAGCACTAAAAGAGAGGGGGGGGTGTGAATTAGTGCATCGAAAAGACTTTCGACGATTAAAACTGCATTCGTACGATGAAATTATTTTCGACGTAAAACTATTTTTGGAAACTTAACTTGAAAGCAAGTTCGTAAAGGAGTACAGCAAAAGTAATAAGGAAGTAAAGCACATATGAAGGTTTGCAGTAAGGTAAGTAGCAAGAAGAAATGCAAACCAATGAGCACCGTAATTTTAGAGTGGTTCGGTCAATCTTGACCTACATCCACTTTTGGCTTCCTCCTCCGATGAGGTCACCGACGTCCACTAGAGGCCTTCCTTCAATAGGCAAAGGCCAACCACCCTTTTACAGTTTCACTCATTTTGACAAGCTTAGGAGACAACCTTTACAGGATTTTCACTCCTCTCTTGAATGATCGAAACTTGGAAGAAAAGAGAGAGGAGAACTTTTAGCTTATACAACACTTTTGAGCTCTAAAAATCACATAGTAAGATTGGATTTTCGGTGCCTTTTGGTTACCCTTTCATGCAGGAAAGGGTGGGGTTTATATAGGCCCCAACTGATTTGAATTTGGAGCTCAAATGTGTCATCTCCTATATTTCCAAGGTCCTGACGGTACTACCGTCATAACTGGGCGGTACTACCTCTCGGAAACCAAGCTCAGGCGGTACCATCGCCCAGTCTCGTTCGGAGACTGAGCCCAGGTTGTCACGGAC